CCCCTTTGTTGGTTCACTGGTTGGCCATCCTTAGACCACTTCTGGTAGGTTTCTGTCCACTGCATACCGGGAACAGGACCTGCCGTTTTGGAGATGCTCTGTTGCCGCTGTCTAGCCATAAAAATCTGGCCCTTGTCAAAGTTACTCAGATCCTTCTGCTTACCTGTTTTTTCTGCTTCCAACACATAAACTTCAAGAACTGCCAATTCACATGCCTAATATATAATGACACCCTTGACATGTGCCATTGTAATGAGATCCATCCATCCATTTTCTGAAACCACTTGTCCTATTCAGGGGTTGCAGGGGGGTCTGGAGTGTATCCCGGAAGCTTTGGGGCAGGGCAGGGCAGGGAACAACCCCAGGGGGGCCACCAGCCTACTGCAGGGCACACACACACCTTCAGGCAATTTGGTAACTCCAATTAGCTTCAGTGTGTGTGTGTGTGTGTGTGTGTGTGGGGAAAACCCCTTGATGACATGGGGAGAACATGCAAACTCCACACACACGGAACCCTGGCCGAGACTCAAACCCTGGTCCCAGAGGTGTGAAGTGACAGTACTGACCACTGCCCCATCGTGCCTCCCCCTTATAATGAGGTAATCAATGTTATTCACTTCACCTGTCAGTGGTTTTAATGTAATGGCCGATCGGTATAAATGTGTAACAGGGATCATGTGTAGCTTCAGTAAGGTAATCTGAGACTTAATGAGGTGAATAGTGTTCACATTTCCCAGTTCCACAGAGGTGAATCTGTATTCAGTCATTTTTATATTTACCCATTTCATTATGACAGTAAATTCTCAAAGGTGAATATATATATACCCTCTTTTAATTCTAAGGTTTTATGTATCAGGACATAATAAAAAATCATCTGGTCCTTAGCAGGTCTTAAAATTAGATAACTATAGCCTCAGATGAACAACAACATGTGACATATTACGCGTGTCATCATTTATTTAATAAAAACTAAGCCAGAATGTAGATGCAGTGTGCGAGAAATGAAGTACACCCCTACTGCTTCCGTGGGACTTAAGAGGGTAGGTAGCAGCCAAGTGTTGTTAATCAAATGTACTTGAGTCTTTGATTATCAGCGAGTGTGACCACCTGTTTAAAAGCAGAAGTTTTGACGGTTTGCTGATCTGGAGCGTTCAGGTGTGTTTTAACAAAATGCCGAGGAGGAAAGACGTCAGCAATGATCTTAGAGAAGCATTTGTTGCTGCCCGTCAATCTATGAAGGGTTATAGCCATTTCCAAACAATGTGACGTCCGTCATTTTACAGTGAGAGATACTATTCACAAGTGGAAAACATTCAAGACAGTTCCCAATATTTCCAGGAGTGGACATCCCAGCAAATTCAAACCAAGGTCAGACCGTGCAACACTCAGAAATCGCAAAAACCCAAGAGCTACATCTCAGACTCTACAGGCCTCAGTTAACATGTTAAATGTTGAAGTTAATGACAGTACAATTAGAAAAAGACTAACCACAAGTATGGCTTGTTTGGTAGGGCTCTCTACAAAGAACATGGCATCATAGCTTAGGTTTGCAAAGTTGCATCTGAACAAACCACAAGACTTCTGGAACATTGTCCTTTGGACAGACGAGACCAAAGTGTAGATAACTTGGACCAAAGAGGCCACAAATGCCTCATACCAACTGTCAAGCACAGTGGTGGAGGGGTGATGATTTGGGTTTGTTTGACAGCCACAGGACCTGGGCACCTTGCAGTCATTGAGTCCACCACGAACTCCTCTGTATACCAAAATATTGTAGAGTCAAATGTGAGGCTATCTGTCCAGCAGCTAAAGCTTAGCCAATACTGCGTCATGTGACAAGACAATGATCCCAAGTGCACCAGCAAATCTACAACAGAATGGCTGCAAAAGAAAAGAATCCAGGTGTTGCAATGACCCAAAGTCCAGACCTCAACCTGACTGAAATGCTGTGGCAGGACCTTAAGAGAGCTGTGCTGAAATGAATCCCTGCAAACCTCAATGGACTGAAGCAATGCTGTACAGAAGAATGGGCCAGAATTCCTCCACAGCAATGTGAGAGGCTGATAAAGTCATACAGAAAACAATTCCTTAGCTGTTGTTGCTAAAGGTGGTTCTACAAGCTCTTCAATCACAGGGTGTACTTAGTTTCTCACACACGGTTTCTCCATTTTGGCTTTATTTTTTGTTAAATAATGACACGGTGGAATCTGTTGGGTTTTACATCTGAGATTAGATTTAAATCATTTTTGAATCTGGTAAAGACCAGATGATTTTTGTATTGTGTCCTAATACGTAAAGCCATATAACTGAAAGGGGGTCACATGACTATAGTTTGTGTCAGAAAGTAGTTTTTCTGCAGTGAATATACAGTATATTGGATAGTGTTTGTATTTTGCCACTCCAGTGTTCAACACAGATACAGTAGTATTTTTAAATCAGTGTGACATCATGTTCAAATTCAGTGTTTGTGACACTGTTACTGATGCCTTTGTGGGTAGCTAAACAGCTTCTCTCAGCTGTTATCAGGCTCCTATATTTTTAACTACTTTTATTTACTTAAGAGACGTTTCTATCTAAAGTTCTGTACAATTGAGACAGCAGAGTCAGCCACTCACTGGACTGTTTGAGGGGTTAAGGGCCTTGCTGAAGTTGTCAATGGTGAAATCATTCTGCTGACCCTAGGATTTGAACCAGCGACCTTCAGATCACAGCCCTATCTGCCTGAGCTACACACCACCCCCCACTTAACTCACCAATCTGTTTTTTTGAATAAGAAACTGTATTGGTGGTCAAACCATTGTCTATTGCAAACGTTTCTAAGAACATGCAACAGTGAAATGCAAAAATATAAACACAGATCATTATTTTGTCATCTCACAAAGACTAGAACACCTCTGCTCTGTTCTGAACACCTCTGTTCTGTTGAGAAAAGAAAAACAAATCATTTAGTGTCTCTGATTCTTTGAATGTTTGCATGTTTTAGACACTGTGCATTCTCACACCTCTTGCCAAAACTAAATATTAAATTAGAGAGCCTTTTAGTAAGAAAAACATCAAATCCACTTTATTAGTTTTGGTACTTAATCCACCCTAATTGCCCCTTTAAACTGTATAACAATGACTGCTGTCAAACTCTCACTGCAGTAACTAAGCAGAATGGGACGACTGTTAAGCCTAAATCATCTATTCATGCTTAAAACAATTGTGGGTTCTCTGTGCAGATTTTGCATTTCTAAGTAGGGTAGATGTGTAGATCTATGGTGGATTTTGGATTATGGTCCATCAAAAAGGCTTGATGGTCTCATATACAATGTGGTGCCAAAGCAGAACAGTGGGAACTCATTCAGATCCTGGTGCAGCAAAGTAGCACCAACAACAACAATCCCTTGGTGTAATGAGGCCCAGTCTCCACTTTGGTATGACGATGATCTTTATGAATTGTTGTACCAGACTTTGCCATTTCCCATGAATCCCTGAGACACTAATTAAGTCATAAACTATGACCTCAGCAAAGGTGATGCCAGTTACTATAAGATTATTTGTAACTTTCTGGCATATTTCATATTTTGTGTACAGAGTAATTTTGCTTGGAGACCTAGACTTGATGCGATTCACTACTGTGCTGGACTTTCTTAATTTGGACAATGATTCTGACTGAAGTTCAGTGCAGCCATGAAACCTCCTCAAAAATGCCCATCTCCAGACTCAGAGGCATCAAGAACTTTTTAACAGAGGTTTCCAGAAGTTTATTTTGATCCTGAAATGATCTTGGTATCTACAATCTGCATGTTCTCATTTTGCTGGCAAGGGGCAATGTGACTGATTTATGCTGGACAGGTGGGGCACACTGTTTACCAAGACATTCAAGCAGCTGCTTCTAATGATGATAATTTATTTGGGCTGAATGCCTTGCATGTTTGATTACCGTGAACACCAAAAAAAAAAACAAAGCTAAACATGTACTTTTTCTCTCCAGTGCTCCAAACCACTTAAAAAACTTAAAAAAACTTAAAATCACGCAGAGACTGAATACTTAGACAAATATGAGCAACTTCATGCTTGTGGCCAATGCTTTTTACAACCTTCTCATATCTGTATTAGGTATCCATTTTAAACTCTCTGCTTTTCAGATTCCTGACACCGTTAAAGGCTAATCCTCAGCATCTGTGGCTGTCTGAGTTGTTTTCTGTCAATGACGTTGAATGTAACAAGGGCAGAGAACTGGATATAAGCCCTCTCACTAACTGGAGGAGTAACTGACACTGCGCTGAATGACTTCTTTCCCAGTTACGCCTGATGGCTTGCGATCTCGTCTAATATTAGACTAAAGTGTAGTGGCCAGGCTTCCGGAACAGCGATGACCCGAAGATATAATGGACATGTGATGTATATCACCTTCCATACCGCTTGAACTAGGACACCGAGCCCATTCAGCAGATTTTCTTACCAAAACACAGCAGCCAGATTCTGAGTAGATGAATATCTTCTAAGGACTAAATATGACAAAGCCTTTGTATTATTACAGACGTGTCTTTAACATTAGTGGTTTCTTAGTCCTCTACAGTGGTACTTTATATCAGTCAGTGGTGGAGATGTGAGGTTGGGTCCCACAAGCAGCTAGACACTCAACTGAATGCGTCTCACAGGTTGGTTGGTTGATTCCACGTCAGACGATACCTTTTTCCAAAAGAATCTTTGATATTAATAGATACCACAAACAGGGTCATGGTTGCAGATTTCCAATTTACTTTTCAGATTAATGACTCCATCATATCTTGCTGATTTTTCCGTAAATGTTTTTCAGTTCTGCAAAACAAAAACAACAACAACAAAAAAGGAAAAACACATCGCTAGTCCAATCCTATCTATGGATGATGTGGATCTGTGAGAAGAAATTATAGATAGTTTGGCTGCAATAGCTGACTGTTGTGGATTCCTGAGCTGAAGGGTCGAGTATCATTGTCCTGCTCCATGTGATGCCTCTTCTGAGGTACAGAAGTCCTCAGGACCTTGGTAGCTCTTGTGGATCCTGTTGCTGGAGCATCTACCCTTCTTTTACACTAGCATGCCTGGTCCAGCTGTGACTGGCATTTCCAGGGGTGTCTGGTGAGGGCCATGCCACTCTAGGGCAATCTGGCACTGGCATGCACGTGGGCAGACAGGCCTCTCCGCCAACCAAGCCGACTGGCTGCTGCCGCATGTGACACCTACACCGGCAGCAGCCCTGCATGCACCCCCCGTGCATGCAGCGTTGTCTGGTTAGAGCTAGCCAGCTTTTGTGGAAGCTTCCGCCAGCCAGAATGTAGAGGATGGGGTCCAGGCAGCTGCTGATGGCACACACTACTTTGGAGAACTCGTAGCAGATATAGAGTGTGGAACGGTTGGTCACCTGCTTCTGAACCCCCACGAGCACCACTGTCAGCGCCATCACGTGATAGGGGCCGAAGGAGACCACGAACACCAAGATGGCGGCCGACAGCAACAAGAGCGGCTTGCCAAACCTCTGGCGAACCCTTGTACTTCTAGGCAGGCGGCGCAAAACCTTGACTGTCATGACATAAAAGGTCAACATCATGCCAAAAGGCAGGACGAATCCAATGGCGGCACGTACAATGGAGAAGGTCTTGATATAGCTGAAAGGGATTTCGGTCTGGTCCACGCAGACGAGCACGTTTCCTTTGACAGCGAAGGTGAAGAACAGGTCTGGGACACTGCCGATGAGCAAGAGTGTCCACGTGCAAACACAGCACACTTTGGCTTTACCCACGTCCCACCACATTAGGGACCTGATGGGGTGTACGGTGCCGGCATAGCGGTCAAAACTGACAAATGTCAGGAACATTATGCTGCCGTATGTGTTTACGTTGAAGGATATCTTCTTAAACTTACAGAAGATCTGGATACCCCCAAGGTGAGACCTCTGGAGGTTAAAATAGATAGTGAAAGGCAAGGTCAGTATCCATGCGAGGTCACACAGGGCCAGGTTCAGCAGGAATATGTTGCTGGTTGTCCATGTTTTTCTGAAACAGGTGTAGTTCACCAAAGCGATGATGTTTCCCAGAATTCCCAAGGGCAGAGCCACAGCGCAGAGGCCAAGGACAATGTAACAGTACCCCTGTGCATTCCCCAATTTGCCACAGAATTCAGTGGACTGGTTCAGACTGTCAGGCTCCATGTTGCCTACAAGCAAAAAGGATATTTTATTGTACTTGGAATACTCCATTCAACAGGTTGCAGATTTTGTGTATGAATTACATTAAGCAGACTTCATTTTTTAAATTATTGCTGCAGCTTATTTGCAATTTTGTTAATAAAAGCAATATAATTAAAATAGAAGGGTATTTTAATTACATTATGTGTTAGAGCTGTATTAATTATGTAATCTTAAATCGCGATTTAGTTTGTCAAGGTGTTCTATATAGATATTTTGAACCTTTGCTTATTAATTTATTGCAGTACCGTGAAATATTTTATCTTGCAAACTTTTTCTCAACTTTAGCTGATACAAAAAAAAAATGCTGTTTATGTAAACTATACTAAATGCACTAGAAATGCAAAAATGCAGTGACGTGTCTACCTTTGAAACGGTAAATTACCTTTGAAATGTTAAATTACCTTTGAAACATTAAATTACAAGTCAAATGTTTCACTCTGTGTATTTTCCACATTTTCTCACGTTTTAGTAGTTTCATTATTTCAGCATTGGAGTGTTAACCATCAGGATACAATGGCAATATCGTGACGTAATCCATTGCGGCACTGGTATCCTGATGTGTTTTGTATCATGGGCTAGTTGGCGATACCCAGCCCTACCTTGTGCTCTGTTTTGACAGCATTCAAGACACAGTACAGTTAATATTTATACTCATTATATAAATAATAGCCTTTCACGACTATTATCACCGTAACATGAAACCGCGATTTTCTTTTGGAAATTTCCAGACAATTACACATGGGTCATTATTTATGGCTGACTGATTTCGAATGATTTCTTCTCTGACTAAAACATAATTCCAAAGTCACGTGTACACTCAGCAGGCACATGCTCACGTGCTTGAGGGTGCCTCAGCACCTGGCCATTTTTGCCCCAACGATTGAAAGTGCCCTCCCCCGTTTTGAAATTCTACTCAGTGCCCCTTCTTCATCTCGCAAAATTGACCGAGGGGGGCTATAGGGCCCAGAGTCTGCCTCTCGTTAAGTCTCCGCACAGCACTGACATCCAGTTACAGGATGTTACTGGTATTAAGAACAGTACGGCAACTAAGCTCTGTACTTAGGTAATGACACTTTACATTTCGTATCCGTATTTTGTTATGGAAGTATCCTAAAATATCACACTGTCTCGTATCTAACCGATAACTTTGATTTAATTAAGACATCCCAGTTTTTGTGTTAAATAATGTTCCCATCTTTAATCTGGCCGTTAAATATGAAGAGCAATATCTAAATATTTCAGGTAACCGAAAAGTGTACTAACCTAAAATATCGAACTTTGTAATTTCAAAAGAAATACCCCCACAAGTGTTTCGGTAGATTACAGAGTTCCACCCTACGCACCGCGATGGATGAGATGCGCAATCATAAGTACGGCGCACATGATAATTCCCTGCTGAAAGTCTACTCTGCCGCTTTATGATCTAGTCTCTGGATATAAAAGACCGAGACTCTCACGCTTATGTGTTGATACTGAATGTTCCTTTTACTCTATGTCATCCTTTATAAAACAAGATTAGCCGATAAACAGAAGCATTTATGTCTCTGAAATTACGTTTGCGGTAATATTAACACTTACCGTTTATGTTCGAGCCATTGACGAGGTAAGGCTGCATGCTGCAGGATCAATTTCCTCTGTCCCCGTATTCAGTGGTATATTAAAAACCCGTCCTTACCGTAAAAAAACCCATTCATTCACTCCCTTCAGGTATAGGCTGCATCACAGTACCACCTACCGCTTCCTTGAGTATTGTTACCTAAGCGGCATCACTACAATCAGACGACACGAAATGATTGTTTGACACTCATATAAACACATCTTACAGTGATTTCATTCTTTATGTTAATAAAATGCACATTTTACAAGAACTGTGGACCGTTCAGTGCTCTATTGTTTATTTTTATCCAAGTGCTTTTATTCTTAAGATCTGGCTTCTCATACAAAACGTACACGTGCGTTTATAAAATGCATACCCGCTTTACATTTCGGATTAAGTAAAAACCGTAACTGTGATGTTGAAACAGCTGTAAGAGTGTAGAAGCTCAGCAACAAACCATCGCTCATCAATGTGTCCAACCACTAGATGGAGACATCTCCAAATATATGATTTTATTATTATTGCGCATGGGTTGCCAATAAACAGAAGAAGCGTCATTTTTTTAACCAAACAGGGGCATTGGCTGTTTTGTCTTACAGAGAAATTACAACTATACTGTAAAATTTAAACGTGTAACGTGCACGTTGTTTAAATGTTATAAAATAGCGGTATATCAGTTTCAGTTAAGCTTATTGCAGAAATCCTGATGATAGCGTTTCTTTCTTCCTGAGCAATATATGCCTGCGACCCGATGTAGCCCCAGCCTGTTGCCCTTGTAGGTGCGCGTTATATATCGCCTCGACTGGGAGTCCTGCCGCCAGGGGCCCTGTAAAGGGGATTAATCTCAGACTATTCCATTATATTTAGGGTCCGTAAAACACAATAGGATTGGGGGCCCAAAGTCTCTAGCCCCTGCCTTCAGTGGCCATTCTCGGATGCTCTCTGTCCTCTATGGTGAAATCTACTACTGCAGCAGTGTGACACAGTAGCCTACCTGTCGAAGCTACGTGGCGCCCTCAGACGCCTAACGGGTTGACCGGCACTGATGTGACACCAGTACGCCATACCTGTCGGCACTTCCGATTTTCCCCGTTTTCCACCGCTCCTGACGCTGTACTTCCGTTGTACCATTTCTACCCATAAACACCCGGTTTTCCGCATCCACCACTTTCCTGCTCCTGAAATTTAGTTTTGTCGTCGGGACCCTCCCCCCGGCAAAATCTCCCCGTTTAATGCTAGTAGATATGGAGCACGCAGATCTGAGGAGGCCTGGGGAATGATCCGGAGTAATAGAGAGGATAATCTGTAATCTCTCCGATAAATCCCAGACGGATTACGTTAGGAAGGCTCTGGTAATACGGATTCTGCATCTAACGCAGCATTGCTGGCTGACTGTTAAACCGTAGCCGTCGTTAGGTCCGATCACTCGGTTGTATAGCCCCGAGTATTTTAGCCACGATGCCAATCTTTCTTACAGAAAAAGTCAAGCCCCGGGTAAACTTGACTTAGTCCCTAATCCTTTCAATAACTAAAAACTCCCCTGAGTTAACCCATCTATTCAAATCGATTAAGCTGTAATGCTGCAGTGGAGAAGCTATGCGGGCTACGTTATAATTTCAATATTTTACACCTCCTACAATGTTAAAGTGTGTTATTACGTTAAACCACATATAGCCGTGGCACATGGGTTCCTCGGGGACCTACTGTACATACTTGATATCCTGATCAATGTGCTGATAATCATTTTAACGGCTGAGTTAAGGCTATGACGCACGGAATTAATTACACCGCAAAAAACAACTTCATTTGGATGATTCACTGTCAGATTTAAAACTTTAAAATGTTAATGTAGTAAAGAAATTAGAATCTGGTACTATTAATGTTTCACACGTAGATATTAAAGAACTTAGCTGTAAAAGAGGGTGAATTACGATTATGCATGCCTCTCATTAACATAGCTCAACGTAAAATGACGTATTTAAAATGTTAAAGAAGTCTAGATCTAATTTATATTATGTACATTTCGCTCAGAGCCTGATTTGGGATTAAAACTATTCTAGGGCGATTTTAAAACAACTGGCCTTCAGTAATGGCGAAATAAATGATATATGAAGTCGCTGTGAGATGTTGGAGCAGAGGGGCTCTGTCAGCCGACGTGAGAGGGCCATAACTCACACGGCCTACCGCGGGTTCGGCTGGGCGGCACTACGAACCGCCAGGTGCAACAAGCGCGGCGACACCAACAAATGACAAGGTGATTCTTTTTCTCACAGTACTGATCGAGGAGCTCCTGTGGAAACTGTAGTTTTTTTAAATATAAAACAGGCATACTGACAGTAAAGTAAGTCTCCAGAGAGCTGCTTTGTTCCGATAAGTCAGGCAGTAAAGAATCAAATCTGTTGTTATTTTTTATCATTCTGAACACATGAAAAAATACATTACTGTTTACTTATGATCAGGAGATTGAAAGCGTACATTTCAAGGACAGTACCGCTGTGGAGCAGTTTACGCTATGCATATTTTCGATTACTCTCCTCAGTCAATATCAAACTGCGTAAATAAAAGTAAAGTGGGGAAACTGGAGAGATATAACAGAAAGCGGAAGCACGAATGGCTCAAGCTTAAATAACCGATTAAATGGCTCCCTGTTCGCGTAATTTTAAATGCGTTTCAGAGCAGATGTTGGGGCTTTTTAAAGCAATGCTCTTAAAACACTGGTCCCGAGGTCGAAGGGAAAAGCCGTGCATTTGCAAAGGGCAATTATAGCAAATGTCCGTTTGGATGGAGTTCTAGGTCACACCCCAATGGACAGATGGATAACTCAGTAGATTGGCGTTGGCCCTAAAACTACTTGACCTTTTCAGCAAGCGTGGTCTTGTGCATTATGCATATTAAATGGTGTGTCTTTGTTGGGTCTGAGTGGCCGGTATATAGGGACTCATGAAACAGGTGTCAGTTGTCCTTTGCATATAGACCTACATTCACAGACTATCCGCTTTAGCGACAGAAGCTTTCACGCAGCAGGTTTAATAGTGTTCCTCTTTCTATTATAACATTGTCTATAATTATAGGGGAAAACGAAATGAATATTTAATACTCCATAGCTTGGCTAACCGGCTTTGGGGCTTTAATTAGATTAGACGTACATGAGGCGTAACAAATGAGAAGCGCACAAATACAAAGGCTTCTTTCATTTTTTTAAGTACCTCACCGTATTATGTATTTTTATTTTTTAATAAAAAAATAATAAATTCAGTGTACAAGACGTGTAGCTTTGCGTATCTCAATTAAGCGACTCCTAATGTCCTCCTACATTAATACTGCAAGGGTATAACTTTGGGTTGAGCATTTGGTCTCCAATCATTTAAAGGGGTACAGGGGGTTGTGTTGGCTGGTTTTGATTATTAGGGGGTTTACAAACCCCCTATAATTTACACCCATGGGAAGCGGCACCGGCTGTCGACGTTGGAGTAGACCGGCAGATACAGTAATAGTGCCGCCCGCTTTAATGCGCTGTCCCTCAGATGGAGGGGATGGGGAGGCGCGGCTCTTCCCCGCTATGGTCTCCCGGGCCCGGAGCGACTATGCAGGAGGAGCTCCTTTCTCAGCAAAATAGCTGCAGCCCGGCGCCCTGCTGCGCGGATATAATCAGCACGAGCAATTAACGATAAAACGTCCGAGTTATGTGCCCGGTGTTGGAGCACAGGGCTGCGCAAGCGATTTTGGAAGAAAATACCTTGCAGTTTCAACGTTGTTATATAGTCCAATACTGTAGTCGAGTAGTAATTATCTGATAAAGTATAAAGACGTGAATTTAAAGATGGACCTGCGCTTCCCTGCAGCTCATGCTGGAAATCTGGAAGATAGTAAAATCAATGCAGCCCTAGAAAGTGCTGCACGCATAAGCCAGATCTATAAATGGATTTAACTGATCAGGAATAGCCTTAGAAAATGATTGACGTGTTTTTTCTTCCAAAATAATTCATGCCAGTGCTGTTTTACATATTTTCTTTCTAATAGATGTGGCATTTTTTCATTTTAGCCGACCCCAGTTATGAGACTGTAGTGTCCTAATACTGTATGTGTTCCCAGCCGCTGGAAGCTGAAAGGCGCGGCGGACGCGCTCCCTGGATACTGACGTCGGGGTTCATTCTTTCCGCGCAGCACCGACGCAACTGACCTGACACCAAGTGACTTTTAGGGCATGTAATTTTCTGGACCGACGGCATAATAAATGAAAGAGCGTTAAATTGGAGCTGGGGAGGAGTTTAAATGAATTAGCGCTCACCTTTGATCGCGCCCGGTCTGTGCCGCTGTAATGTACAGGACGGGAAAACCACCTCGACGCTTCCTGTCATTATTATGTGCATTTTACAAGACAGGATCTCTTGTGAGAAATGTAATATTTTTTTTCTGTTTTATCGTTGCTGGTATTCTATAGACATACAATTTAGGATATTCTGAGACAACAACAAGATTTCCCGGAGGTAATAGGTTCATTTTTCTCACACCCTAGGTCAATATCTGCGCCTGAAAATGTTCCGAGAGGACCATGGCTCGTGGATGACTATGTTTTTCAGCACCATCCTCTTCCTCTTCATCTTCTCACACGTTTACAATCTGCTCCTCTTCATGGCTGGAGATATGGGGTAAGAACCTTAGTGACCTCTGTTTTTTCCCATCCCAGACATAAGTTTATGATGGATGTTTCTGTCCCACTCAGACAGGGCTGTCCTGCCCTCCAGAGAACTGCCTAAACAAGAAGCGATCCAGATATTTTACAGTCGTCCATTATTGAGGGTATTATCACGTTAACCTGCCATCTTGGCTCTCTGGGGGCCTTATCTTGAGCCAGGATGGCTTTCCCTTCAGATCACAGTTTTTCTATCCATTTCAAAAGAGCAAGGTCTCATGTCATACCAGAAAAGATGATTTTTAACAAACCACAGTCATTTTTTTTTCTACAGGCTTATCTTGGCATTTCAGACATATTCAATGTTTTGAAGGTCAGCAAGAGATCTTTAAAGCTCAGTTGTGTCCCCAAACCACTGAGACTAACTGTTTTAATTTGGTGTCCCGTTGTTCTGCTGAGAGCCGGGCAGGAACATCAGACATATTGATTCTCACGTGACAAAAAACAGCCTGAAGGATGCCTGTCGCTTGACGGCTGCATGACAAGCGTCGCCTGCTTCAGAGCTGCC